AGTTGAAACATCCTTTTCCTTGGGGACAGCGAGGAAAGAGCTCCCTTCAAACACATCCTCCCGTGAGACTCATTAAAGGCTCATCAATTACAGTGAGAGCAAACAATTCAGGGGAAAGCAGCTCTGAGAAGCCTTCCTCCGGCCCGCAGTCATTAGCGCCTCTCCGAGCTGCCTCTCCCAGCAGAAAGGGAGCAGGGGGGCAAAGCCAAGCCCAGGGCAGGGAAAAGCAGGGGTGTGATGGTTTGGAACCCAGCAGGATGGGACCTGCAGTCTCCAGAGCATCCCCGTGGCCTGCAGAGCATCCTGGTGGAGAGGAGCGTGCAGGGGTGGTGCTGACCTTCTGCAGCTCCATGTCTGGGGTTTTTGAGGAGCTCAGGGCAGTCAGTGCTGTCCCATGGGAGCTGGGCAAGAGGCACAAGGAGATGGAGCAACTCTCTAGGTCCTCACACAGCAGTTCCACCAGCAGTGTCACTGCATCGGGTCCAAAGGGGTGCCAGCACCCCAATGCCACAGACACGTTTTCTAAAAAATCCTTTCCTTAGGATTTTTTCTCCTGAGAAGCTAAAAAGCCTCAAAAACAAAATGTAAACAATAGTTATCTGCTGCTATAAAATTCAACAGGTAAATCTTTGATTAACCCCTGTTAGTTGTTTCTAATTAATGACCAATCACAGTCAGCTGGCTCGGACTCTCTGTCCGAGCCACAAGCCTTTGTTATCATTCTTTCTTTTTCTATTCTTAGCTAGTCTTCTGTTGAAATCCTTTCTTCTATTTCTTTTAGTATAGTTTTAATATAATATATATCTTAAAATAATAAATCAAGCCTTCTAAAACACAAAGTCAGATCCTCATCTCTTCCCTCATCCTTGGTCCCCCGTAAACACAGCCACACCCCAAAGCTGCCCCATCCCTGCAGGAAGGGAGAAGGATGAGGAGATGCTCTTTGCCTTTCTCTGCCTCACTTCCCTGCTCTGCAAGTGGGGTTGAGGACAGAAAAGGGGTTTTGAAACAAGTAAGGATCCTTGGAAGGAAAACAAAGGGCTGGGATGGCTTTTTAAAATTACTTCAAAAGTCATTATTAATGAAAGCTCAGGGAAAGGGGCTGTTTTCCCGCTCCCAGCACAGAGGGAGGTTTGCTGCAGGTTTGCTGCACTCACCCCCTTCCTGTGTGTGGGCATCTCCTTCCCTCACACGTGGGCTTGGCACCAGACACCTCTCCAGCAGCTCACTGCTGTGACCTCCAGCATGCTGACATGGAGAATTGCAGAAAAGTGTTCTTTATGGCTGAAAAAAAAAAAAAAAAAAAAAAGGAAGAAGAAAGGGAAAAAAAAGGACACTTTCCTGTAAACTTTCCCTCTGTGATGTTCCCTGGTGGAGGCATTGGCAGCAGCAGAACCACACTGCACCACTCTGAGGAGAGCTGGATGACCTGCACTAAAATAAACTCACAAATACCCCTTTGTGCAAGCTGTAACATCCCGGGGCACACATTGCTCTGACCACTCCTGCTGGGAGCAGTGTGAGCCAGGTTTTGTTGCATGCCAAGTGCAGGGTGTGACCTCCTGCCAGCCTGGGCCAGGGTGGGTGTCCCTGTGCCCAAGGGTGCTGTGGGTCCTGCTGGGGCTGCTCCCCACCAATGCTGACTGTCAGCACAGCCCTGACCCACGAGCCAGAGAGCAGAAACACTCCCAGCTCCCCAGATCTCCTCCAGAGCCAGAGAGACCATATTGCAAGCAGCACTTTGCTGGAGCAGCCCCGGGGCTGGAGCAGGGCCATGGCTCCCTTCTGCAGGACACAGAGCAGGTGTCTGCCCCGCTGCTGATTTTTAAGCCTCATTGCTAAGCAGCTCCTAACCTTTCCCTTCATCCTCTCCTTCCTGCCGTGGCTGGGCGCCGAGGAGGATGAGCAGGAGGAGCGGCTCCCACCCAGGGGACTGGGCTAATGCCATTCACTCCAGCCTCCACCAGCTGAGCCTTGGCTGGGGAAAGGCAGGCACAGACCATTGTCCTTGGGCTGTGGGCCCAGAGGAGGAGGCACAGGAGCCTGAGGAAGGGGTTGAAGCTGATCCACTGAGCCCGAGCTGCAGAATACACAAACCTCTGTCCAAAATGGGGCTGGCTGAGGGTGCTCGGCTGTTCACCATTAAATAATGCAGCCTGATTGATTGGGCTGAAAAGTGCTGTGCTGTGGGGTCAGCCTGCTGGGGTTACAGCTCCCTGCTTAGATTGATGATCCTCAAAGGTCGAATTCAGAAAGCAATTCCCTGGTAAAATTGATCCCTCAGAAAACAAAACTTTTGCACAGTGGCAAAGGGCCTAGCAGTGAGAAAAATCAGTGACCCAGGCACAGGCAGGCAAGGTGAACTCTGCCTCTGCTTCCTATTGACTCAATTTTCCTTGTTTACACCAATTAGGAAGTGAGGGTCTCCCTTGGGAAGGGCAGTGCTCTATCACAGCTGGCTGGGGGACATCCATGGGCTCCTTCCCTGTCCCATCCCACTGGGCAGGAGGGAGCTGGGCTGGCCCAGGAGCTGGTGCTGGGCCCTCAGCCCTCCCCAGCAGCAAGGGAGCCATGTGTGTGGGGAGGAACAGATCCTTGTGACCCTCCTGTGTGTGCAGGAGCAGAGCCTTGTGACCCTCCTGCACCCTCCTTTGTGTGGAGGAGCACACCCTTGTGACCCTCCTGTGCCTCAGCAAGGCCAGGTCTCTCTGTGGAGAGGAGGATTTGTAGCTGGAGCCAATTTAATGGTGAATGGGTCTCACCCTCCTGCTCTGGGAGCCAGAAACAGCCCAAAATGTCTGCTTGGCTCCTGCCAGGAGCAAGGATGTGCCACACGTGATTGAGGTTGGTTGAGGCTGCTTCAGGCCACCTTGGGGACCAGCTGGTGGCCACCCAGGGCTGATGTCCCCTCTGTGACTGGTCCGTGACAGGGTCAAACACTGGAGCCAAGCACCACCCTGCAGCTCATCCCAAACTGCAGGGAAAACCATGTCTGTGACATTCTTGCACCCACTTCCATCCTTGCACCCACTCCCCTGGGGCTCCTAAACCCCCCCTGGATGCTGAGGCTGTGCCCTGGAGCTACCCCATCCCCTCACCCCATCAGAGCAGGAGGGAGGAGAGCTGCAGCAGCCAGAGCTGTTACCCCATTCAGGCAGGGCCCAGAGCAGCAGTGGGGAGGCTCTGACCTGCTTTAACCTGCTTTACCACACTATCCCTGCCTGCTTTGCTCTGTCTGCTGCTTCTGAAGCGAGAGAAGGAGGCCAGGCTGTGTGGACACTGAATAATTCAGAGGCAGCTCCGCAGCACCCCGGGGCTGGGCAGCGCCTGTGCCACAGCTCAGCCCAAACCCTTCCTCAGCAGAGCCAGAGGGGACCTGCAGCATGTGAAGTGCAGCATCCTCGTGGCTGGAGGCACCAGCCAAAGCCACCTCCTTGCCCTGTTTGTGTGCTGGTGGCTCAGTCCCAGAGCAGCAGGGCTGTTGGTGCTGTCAGCCGTGACGCTGCATCTCCACAAAGTGCAGCGTGCTGAGCCTGCCTCTGCTCCCCGAGCCACGTTTTCTCCTTCCCTCCCTTTTCCAGGCTGCAAAATTCCCTCCTCTGCTTGGTCAGACGCAGGGCAGGGTTGTAAGATGGGGAGAGATTGTTCATCCAGCTTATGCTGAGCCTCTGAGCGGGGTTTGCTAGAATTAAGGACAGGGAGGGGAGGGAGGGGAAAGAAAGAAATCATACATGAGGTCAGTTTATCCAGCCATGCGTGAGGAGAGCACGGCAGGGGCGGCCTCAGGGGGTCAGGCAGGTGCCTGGGGAGCTTCTGGGGGCCTCCAGGGGAGAGGGGAGAGGCACCAGGAGTGAGGGGAATGCACAGCATCAGCACCAGACTCCCAGCTCCAGCCTAATCCAGGCTGTTTATCCCGGTGCAGACAGAGCACCAGGAGCAGCAGGCCATGTTTCCTGTATCCATGTTTCCTATTTCATTCCCTCAGCTTTGCATCTCCTGAGCCCTGTAAAAGGAAGTGCTGCCCCATCAGACTTCTCCACCCCTGCACAGAAGGCACAGCATTACTGTTGTCTAATGCTTCTGCTTCTGAGAGTGTAAATTATTGCACGAAGCAGGGCAAACCGTCAGGCTGGGCTAGGGACGGGCTGTCTGGAATGAAATGAGATGTTTTGGTCCCCAAAGTCTCTGTCTGATGGCCTCAGCTCGGGCCCAGGAGTCACCAGAGCCACGTGTGAGTTATGGGCTCAGGCTCTGCGCTCTGCACAAGTCACCTCCGGAGCCTGAGCAACAGGAATTATTGTGCACAGAGATAATTATTCCCTGCATACTGCACTACAGCTCATTAAAAGTTTCTTAATGTTTGCAAATTGCTGAATAGCGTTTTTAGTTGTTGCCTTCTCTGATGAGGGAGGGACTAGCTGGTGGATGCTGGTGGTGGCTTGTTGTCTGTGTTATTTTGGTCACAGCAGGCTGGGGCTGTGCTGTGTGGAGAGTTTGTGCTGGGCAGCCTCACATCATGGGAGAAAATGTGCACAGAAAATGCTGCTGGCTCTGGCACAGTGCACAGGGGGCAAGGGCTGAGTGCCACCAGGGTTAGCCCAGCTCCTCCATCCAAAGCCAGAGATGCCTCCAAGTCAAAACCTCCATGTGAGGTCATTACCCAGATTTCTGTAACAGCCTGACACATGAGGGAATTCTTTCCTGGTGTCTCAGCTGCAGATGTTGACTTGCCATCAAACACTCTGTGCTCCTCAGCCAGATAGTGAGAGTGAAATGTCTCATCTTGGATGAGCAGCTGCAGATCTGCCCTGGGTGAGGAGGTGGACACTGAACCCCAGCACCAGATACCTGGTGAAAACTGCTGAGTTCAGTGAGAAAATCCTGCAGGAGCAGCAGGGAAGGGGTGCCCAGCCTGGCCTCAGCACATTTTCAGCCCTATGCTGGAGGCAAGCAGGAGCAACAGCAACACCTGACAGCTCTTCCCTGTCTTCTTCCTCCAGGTGTAAATGCAACCTCCACGCCAACCTGTGCACCTTCAAAGAGGGCAGCCTGCAGTGCGAGTGTGAGCACAACACCACGGGCCAGGACTGTGGCAAGTGCAAGAAGAACTTTCGCTCCAGGTCCTGGCGAGCAGGCTCCTACCTGCCTCTCCCCAACGGGTCCCCCAATGCATGTGAGTAACCTGCAGCCCTGCCCTGGGCTGCACCCCACCCACAGAGCATCCCCAATTCAAGTGAGTAACCTGCAGGAGCCAGCCCTGGGCTACAAAACACCCACAGAGGGTCCCCAATGCATGCCCTGGGCTACAAAACACCCACAGAGGGTCCCCAATGCATGTGAGCAACCTGCAGCCCTGCTCTGGGCTGCACCCCACCCACAGAGGGGAGCAGGAACTCATTTTGTCCTTCTCCAGCTCGAATCAGGGCAGGATGCTCAGCTTTCCAAAGGGAAATGGGTTCTTACCCTGTCTTGGTACACAGAGAACTGAAAGGATCTGGTGGATGCAGAGGTGATGTGCTGGCTGCTGGAAGAGGAGTGGTGAATCTAATGATGGTCAAGAGCAGGGATGATGACCTTAGGCTAAGATATAACCACAGCTTCAGGACAATGCCAATTGTTGTCCTGTGACAAAGGTGTTATTGAGCACTCTGGGCTGGCTCTGCTCAGCTGCAGGAGTGCTGGCTGCTCTCTGGATGCTGTCTGTGCTTGCTGGTGTCCCCTGCACAGCCCCAGCCTCCTCCACTGCTGCAGGAACACGGCTCTGACAGCGGTGGCAGCACACAAACGAGATGCAGGATGCATTCCCACCGTGCTCTGAGCAGAGAATTGGGGCAGGAGGCACCACAGATGGGCAGGTTCCTCCTGGGCTCCTGTCCACTCCACATTAGCAAACTTGTTTAAATGTCACCAAGCCACAGTGGCCACTCCAGCCTTTCAAGCAGCAGCTTTGAGCATTACCAAAGAGAATCTTTTCTCTCCCTCCCCCCAAATTTTTTGAAAGATTTATGTGCTTTAGGATGATCAAAGCTGAAATTCAGGCTCCGAAGGCCGTGACAGGAATGTTTTGTGTGTGCCAGGGCTGGTAGACGAGCAGGTTCTTTGAAAGGGAGCGAGCTTGTCAGCTCCCACCAAGCGGCTGCATTGCTTCAAAGGAGCCTGGGAGAGTTTCTGGTGCTGACAGGCACAGACATGCTGTTCTCTCTCTTTCCCTCCCCTCCATTCCTTGTGTCTCTTCCTATTTCCCTTTTTCCTCTGCTCTTCCTTCTCCCATTCATGTCTCTTCCCATCTGTCATTCAGTCTTCCTCATCCCCACCCAACTCTCTCCGCTGCTTCCTCCTCCCCACATCAACATCCTCTTCCTCTGCCCCAGCTCTGCTCTTGGTAGCCCTGCCTCTTCCATCTCTGTGTTTTATATTCACTCAGAGCTGAGACTTTCCATGATTCACCCACGTGTTACAGCAGGGAGGCCCTTGGATGTGTTTAAAACCAGACTGGATGTGGCACTCAGTGCCATGGTTTAGGTGTTGGCTCACAGATTGGACTAGATGATCTTAAAGGTCTTTTTCAGCCTAGTTCATCCTGTGATTCTGTGATTATTCAGGGCCTAAAGCCTGTCCTTAGCCCAGTGCTCCTGTGTGCTTGTCCTTTGCTGGGCTGTCACAGCAGCCCAAGGAAATGGTTAACAGCAAAACACACCAGCAAGGACCACGCTGGTTTTCCTTCCCCAGGTGAAAGGCTTGAGATGCCAGGAGCCCAGACAGCGTTGTCTGGCTGTTTCTGTGCTCTGACAAAAGCAGCTTTTAAGCTGTAGCAGCAAACTGATGTGCCTGTGAGCAAGCCCCCACTAATTAGCTGCTGCTCAGTCCCATGGTGTGTGTCTGTGTGATCTTCTGATGGTGTCCTGCTTCCAGTGACTGGGCTTCCTCTTGTTTTTTGCAGGTGCAGCTGCAGGCTCAGCCTTTGGCAGTAAGTAAAACCCTGACTGAAATGCTGGCATTTAACACCTCGGTGCATGATCCTTGTGGATGTCACTTGGAAAAAAAATATGGTTATTTTCTATCCATTATCATTTTCCAGGCAATAAGTCTTCCCTAATTGTGCCTCATTTTCTGTCTTGTCAAAGAGTCTTATATTTTCTTCCTCTGACTTCAGCAGCCTCATTTTGCCTCTTCCTCTGGCGTGGTTTCCCCCCATGAGGTTCGTTAGTATGGCAGCTGGAAAGGAAATAAATAAAGACTCTTCAAAATCACCAGTGCTGGCTGTGAAGTCCCCCCTTAGCCCCCCAGTGCTGCAGAATTCTGCTCTGAGAAGGAGCTGGGTGTGAATTATTTGGTGTAGAACCCAGTCTGGGTCACCTTGGGCTATCAATATAAAAAGCATCTAGAGTGAGTGTACATCTGTATGTACACGTGTATGCATATGAACAAATGTCTGTGAGGTGTCAGCAGCAAAGGCAGAGCTCAGCAGGGATTTCTGCTGCAAGATTGATGGCAGGAGAGTGCTCCTTATTTAACAAAGCTGGAGGTAGTTTGATATCAAAGAGCCTGGAGTTTTGGGTAAGCAGAAGCCTGGGTTTGAGTGTTGTGGTGCAGAGTGCCCCTCCAGAAGAAACAAATCAGGGAGCTGAATGAATAATGAGTTCTTTGGTTTGCAGGCAAGTGGGAAGAATTGGAGGAGGAATCGTTTCAGGGAAATGCAAATGCAATTAAGAAAAATGCACCTAATAGAAAAGTGGAGGACAAGTTTTCTGGGTTAATGAACCATATTTAGATTTTTAGCAGTTAATTGCTTGAAAATTTCAAATAAAAATTAAAGGTCGCCCTTAAGTAATATAGGATTTTTAAGAAATAAATGTTTCAACAGCTCAAAATATTATTCACCTTTGTCTTCAAAACCATTTTGATAACTTTTTTCCCTCCCATTTACAAAGCTTGGCATCCTCAGCACTACTTTTGTTTCCCTGGAAGCCGAGAGGGTGCTGGGAGTGATGTGCAGGAGGAGGACAGGAGGGATTTATGTCCAAGGCCAGTTAAGGAGAGATTATTTAGCCCACATAGGAGACTAGAAGTGACCTAAATTAAGTATTTAAACTAGCTCAGGGCTATTATGAAATTAAGCACGATAATCTGCATGAAGCAGTGGGACAAACAAGGACAGGAGGGCAGCAGGTGTAAGTTAAGCAGGAATTTGTGTCCCAGTGTTATTTTAGTCAGGTTGTTGTGGGGAGCTTTGGGGCGGGATCACTCCTGGCTCCTCGGGGGCTCTGCTGACCCCCAACCACCCCAAAATCTGAAGGGTTCCACTGGAAACAAGGGTGCCAATGGTCCTGGTTGGCTTTGAGGGCGGCAGGTGATTTGGGGAGGGGTGGCAGCAGAGAATGGAGCTCAGCTGGGCATGTGGGCAGTGGGCAGTGGGAGCACAGCCTGGCCTGGCACCTCCCACCCGCTCCTCACCCCATCCCTGCCCAGACGTGCCTTCATCTCCCCCTTTCAGCTTAATTGGCAATTAGTTTATGATGGAGCTGTAAGTATTTAAGCCAATATCTGCACCAAGAGAGTAAGCTGATACAGCCCCAGGCTGCAGCCCCTGCTCACACAGACACACACGCCCTGGCTGCGGAGCCTCATCGAGCCGCGTCGCCTTAATCCTGCCGGTGCCCCAGTTGTGACCACGCTGAGAAATCTGTCACCAGGCCAGGCCAGCAGCAGCCTCAGTGTGTGCAGGCTGGCATGGAAACCCAGCACCCCCCCATAAGTGCCTCCCAACTCTTCTCTTTGCTTGTCAGCGTACGAGCGGCCGCAGCGAGTAAACACTGCAAAAACCACCACGGCTAAAACCACCACTGCAAAAACCACCACGGCTAAAACCACCACTGCAAAAACCACCACCACCACCTCAACCACCACCTCAACCACCACCACAGCCACCACCACCACCAGCAGCACCCCCCTACCAGCCACCACCACCCAGCCAGGTGGGTGCCATGCTCCCTGCCCCGCTCAGGACCAGGACTCTGCTCCTCGTTCAGCTGCTGTGTTGGTGGCCGTGGGTCTCTGCTCTGTAGGATGATAAAAGGACATGGATAAAAATCCCCCTGGCTTGGTTCACCAGGCAGCCCTGTTGTCTCTGGCACAGATGCTCTCACAGCTCCATGACAAGCAGGGCAGGAAGGAATGAAGAGTTTTTTGATCCATAATAAATTTAAACCACATATTTTTCTGTAAGGAGAGGGGAATTGTACCCCATCCTGCTCTATCCCTGACCTCCTGCCTCTTGCCACCAGACTCAGAGCAGCCCACAGGTTTTGCTGTGTCCTTGCTGGTTGTCCCAGTCCTGCACCAAATCCCTGTGTGCCCATGGATGTACTGCAGGTGCAGTTTTCCTGTTGCAGCATTCCAGCATTCCCCAAGTGGCTGCTGTCCAAGCAGGGCTGGAGCTCACACACGTGCCAGAAACATCCTTTCCTAATTTCTGAAATCTCCCAGTGGAGGAAAACTTTTGTCCTTTTTCTGGGGGTTCCACCTTCCCTCCTCCCCTGAACAAGGAGACAGCAGTTTCTCCTTGTCTTTTGGAAATGAGCAGATAAAACTTAACAGCAGGACATTTTTTTAAGCTGTTCATGGGGGAATTAGACACGCATTCCTCCCTTTGCCATGCTTTCAGGGCCTGATATTTCCCAGGAGGACGTTTTACACCCACAGCATGTTAGTAACAGTCTGTCTGGGGGAGCTGCCAGAAGCCAGTCAAAGGGATGAGGAAGCTTGATTGCATGTTTATGCAAATATAGATATATTCATGGAAGTACCCTGCTTGAGGAGTTAATCAGGGAGCTGAGGGTTTAGGTCCAACTTCCATGGAGCTGGAGTGACCATGGAAAAAGATTGCAAAGCTCAGCTCTGTTAGGAAGAGCTCCTTTCCCAGATCCACCTGTGCAGGAGGAGGTGAGCATGGAGCTCACCCATCCCCAGCAGGGCCAGCTATCACATCCACATCCACACAATGCACTTGGGCTGATCTGATTTTTATCCATGCTCACCTGTAGTGACATTTTAGGGCTATTTTTTTGCTGTGTTCGTGTGGGTAGCTGCTTGGTGTGTCTCTTGTATGATTTGCAGTGCTCTGCCTTTGTGGCACCTCTGGCGCAGGACAGTGTCCCTGGGGAGTTGGGTTGCTGGGGGTAATCTCTCCTGACAGGCTGCTCTGAGGCACCTGAGGGACATCACAGGGTTTATTCCTTCTCCAAAACTTGCTTCCTGGGCAGAGAAAATGTTTTCCTACTGCTTTCGTTAACTGATGGCAAGGGACAAAATTAATAAATTGCAGCCCAGCTGCCAGGTTGTTGGCTTGATACAGCCAGGCCTGAGTTCCTCGCTCCTCACCCCATCCAGATCCCCATCTGTGCTTCTGCAGAGCCAGTCCCACCCCAGGATGATGACTGGAGGGGCTGCTCCAAATAAGAAGGCAGCCAGGGCCACCAGCAGCTCAAGGACCTGCTCTTACCTGGGCACCATGAGGGGCTTGATGCCAAAGTCCATTCTGTGCCCCTGACCAGCAACAGGGAATCAAGGCACAGCTTAATTCTGATCTGGTTTTGGCCAGAGATGTTCCTCCTCCTCCTCCATGAAAAACAGAAGGTATTTCTTTAAAACCATGGCATTCCCAAGGGCCTGCAGATCTAATTCACCTGGGCCCCAAGGGAAACACTTTGTGAGAGAGGTGACCCCTTGAACTCCTGGTAGGGCATGTTTGCAGGAGGTGACCCCTAAGCAGGGTCAGAATCCCAAAATGAGATCCTCTGTTGTACCCACCCTTCTGAATTTTAGGAGCTTTAAATCCCTCCTTGTTTTAAAGCCAGACAGGGTCAGAACCCCAAAGTGAGATTCTCTGCTGTACCTCCCCTTCTGAATTTTAGGAGCTTTAAAATCCCTCCTTGCCCTAAAGCCAGACATTTAAACCAGTCCTGCCATCCCATCCCCGCCCTGTTCCACCCTCTAACTGACACACTGTCTTCTGCCCTCTGAATTTCTCAATTTCTGCTTCCCACCATAAGCAAGCATCATCAGACCAGCCTCTGAGTTTGCTGCCTCAGTGCCCGTGACAGAGCCACAGAACAACCCAGGTATTTGAAGGCAGCCCTGCGTGTTTCTCCCTTCTCCTCCGCACAGCAGTGGGTGCAGCTCGGCAGGAGCAGCGTGGCACGTAGGCTCAGAGGAGCAGATTAGATTTGGGTTGTCTCTGGGTTGCATGGAGCTGCTAGACATCTGCTTCCTTTGGCTGCTCGTGGTGTTTTCGTGGTCAAGGTGGAGCTGTGGTCGTGCTGTAGGATGTAGGATGCTTTCTGTGCCATACAGGGGGGAGAGGGAGATCATGGGCAAGGCATGGGGTCTGCAGGCAGGGGAAGCTGCCAAAGTGGGTAGAAGGAAGAGAAATCACAGGGTTACCCTTAGGAGGATGAATTAAGTGCAATTCTCCTTTGCCTTCTGCAGTTCTGTTATTTCAAAGCCTTCCTTGAAGCCTGTCAACTTCTTCCTTGCCATTTGTTACATTTTTCCCATGTTCAAAATAAGCAAAAAAAACTCCACCACAAAACCCAAGTTTTTCCTTTTTAATTTTTTTTTCCTGTTTCAATTTTCCTCCCTGTGGTTCATGGCAGTCTCAGCAGTAACAGTTCACCTCTGGGGAAAACAGGACCAGCCTGAGCCCTTCTGAATTTTAGAAGCTTTAAAATCTGAGCTTCTGGGTGGTCACAAAGAAATTGAGCATGGGCAGCCTGGCTTTGGGGAGGTCCTGCAGGAAAGGGATCCCTGAGAAGGATTTTCCAGGCTGCTCCCCCACTCCTCCAGTGCTGTTTGCCCCAGTGGTTTTTGCTATGAAATGTGACTTCTTGGTTCAATTTATTCCACTTCCTCAGAAGGCCACCAAGAACAGCAATTTCCATCAGAGCTGCCCCTTGTTTCCCATTTTTATGAAGTGGGTCTGGGGCAAAATGTATCTCTCTCCCCCTCTCAAAATGTAAAACTGTCCATTATGGCCCAGAGCTACAAAGGGAAAGGTTCTCAGGATAATGAGCATTAATAATTTTCTTGGCTCTGTAAATGCGATTGAGTGGAGGTGTATGTGAATGACTAAAAAGCAAAATGCCTCCAGGGCTGTTTTTTATTGTGACTCTAATTAAACCCTTGCCAATTTGCACAGGGATTTTTTCATATTCTCTTTAACACCGTATTAATATCAATTGGTTTCCACTTTCCAGCTGAAAAGGACAATGTCTATCACCTTCTCTTAGAGCTTGTCATTAAAAAAATAATCTTTTTTTTTCTTTTTTATTCTGTATTGTTTATCATCCCCTTGATGAAGCTGGGAAATCACATTTCTCTCCTACTCGGGTTTGTCCTTTGAAACTTGGCAAGAATCATGAGATTTTTTTTTTTTCCTCCTCCTCCTTATGTTACCCAACTGGAGCTTGAAATTAATAATATGGCTTTTAAAATTTTTAGTCCCTGGTTTGTTTTCTAGCAAACCTGAAGATGGTTACCAATATTGAGAAGCAGGGGAGGGGGATGGAGCCAGTGGGGGTGAGGGTTTGCAGGGAAACCAAACAAGTGAGCTACACAATTTCTTGCTGCTTCAACTTCTCTGCGGTGGCTGGAAATTCTTTGATTTGTATTTCTGAGGGAACAGCAGAGCCTGAAGGAGGGTGTGGAGGCTGGGATTGGAAAGCAGGGCTTGGTGGCTCCATCCCAGGTGTGTGTGTGCTGTTGTTTCAGAGCAGAGGGGTGCAGGCTCAGGTGTGAACACAGAGCAGCTCAGCACACACTGCCCCTCACAGTTCATCCCCCATGGCATAGGGCTGGGTGCTGGATTTGGGGCTCTGATTCCCTGTGGGAAAGCTGCAGGGCTTTTGTGGGATCCCAGCTCCCCCAGTAACACCATTTTCCCTTTGATCACTGCAAGACTACCCTGACTTGTCAGCGGCTGCCCCGCTGCAGGTGGGCTCTCCCCCAGCCAAGGCTGGCCCAGGAGCACCAGGTAGGAGCCACAGGCCTGAGCTGGGTCCTGCCAGCTATAACCAGCTCAGAGAATGCTGTAGTTTCTAGCTCTGCATCTGTGTTTTCCATGGCTCTCTCCTCCTGCCCAGCAAGGAGCTCGGGGCTGGGCTGTGCCCTGCACGCAGCTGGGCTGAGCCTCAGGGTTGAGCTGTGTACATGGAAGATGAGCAGGGTGAGTGGTGGAAAGGATTGTTCACAGCTCGCTGCTGGTGTGAACGGAGAGGATCATGGAAATGCTGTCATCTCCCGAAGCTGGAGCCTGTTTGTAGAGCAGAATCTCCCTGTGAGTGGATAGGCCTGTGCTGCTCAGATCCTTCTGATGCATTTCCTGGCTCAGGCTCCTCTGTGGCTGCCTGAGGTGCTCTGGGAGCCCTGGGAGGTTTTTCTCTGGCTGGAGAGGGAAATTTGAGGCTGAATCTTTTCCTCCTCAGGGTTCCCACCACACACACGCTCTGGTAGCTGCCCTTGATGCTCAGCTCCACTTTCCCACCCCATGTAGCTCACTCAGCTGTAGCTTTAGCATCCCTCCTGTGCAGATCCCGGCATCCTGGGCCTGTGTGGGCTCACAGAGAGGCAGAGCTGCTTCTGCTGCAGTGGCAAGGTATGGAGCCACACCGAGGGGCCAGCAGTGCTGACTGCCTTGCCTTGGCAGTGCTCTGCTCTTCTCTTCTCTCTGTGCCTGGGCAGTGCCAGGACCACGTGCCAACACTCAGCTGTCCAGCAGCTCCCACACCTTCCCCTTAGGAATATTTTCCTGCCTCTCTTCAGACTTAGAGATGCTAAATTTGAGGAGACTTTGTCTCTCCTTCCTGCTTCAGCACATCCTCAACCAGATACAGCTCCAGTGACCCAGCCTAGACACTGCCTAGAGCCCCCAGTGTCCCTTTGCCACCCTGCTAAGCAAACCAGGGGGGATCTGTTTTAAATCTGATGTTCTCTCTGATGGCCCACCAAACACAGCAGCACTTGGAGAGAAGCTGAAGCCACCAGAGCCTCCTGAGAGCATGAGAGGTAAGGCCAGGCCTGTCCCCAAGTGGGACAGGGCAGGTTTGTCCCTCAGGGCCACAGGCCAGGACACCCAGCTGTCCTCAGCACGACCCCATTGTACAATCTCCTACTCAGAGTGTCCAGCTCAGCTCATCCAGCCCCAGGGAGGCCTTTTGGGGATATCTGGGGCCAAGGAAAGCCATGGAGACCAGCAGGGCCCACAGCAGCTTCAGGGATGGTGTTGGGGACAGGAGCGGGTGCACCCTGACCATGGCAGAGCCCATGGGGAGCAGGGCCACCTCCTGCCACCACTGTCACTGTGAGACTGTGACCAAGACAGGTGGCTGGAGTTGACCACCCAGCACTTGCAAGGGAATAAACTCCACAAAAAATCCAGTGGAACCAGATCCCACTTCCAAACACCCCGTGGGACCTCAGTGCTGCTCAGCCTGGGCCTTGAGGAAGCACAAAAAGGCTTGGTGGCCTTTACCCCCAGTGCTGGGGCATTCTGTGTGGGCAGCACAGCCCCCAGGGAGCCCATTCCAGCCGGGACAGCCCTTTTCCCTGAGGGAACAGGGTAACAGCACAGCTCTCAGACCTGTTCTATCCTCCAGCGGCTCCGAAGAGCAAACCAGGGCGCACAGCACACTCTGCAGGCAAGAAGCACAAGAAAAAGACAGGTATGTGCTGCTGGGGAAGGGCCAGGCTGGAGCAGGACCCTCCAGCAACCCCTGCCAGGTGCCACCTCCAGAACACTCACCCTCCTCACAGATTTTTGGGTGCCAGCTGGCCTGACCTCCGTGGCCAGTAAAAAATGGTTTGTAAATTGTAGATCCTTATCCCAAACCACCCACCGAGCACCCATAAAGGGGGCATGTGTGAATAGCTGCTCCCAGCTCTGCAGCAGTGTTGTGCACTGAGTTATCCATGCATTGAGTGTTTCATGCATCAGACTTTGAGGAGGGGAGGGGAAGAGGAAAATGTAGCAGCTACCAGGATGCAGAAATGGATGCCCGTGCTGCCAGCACGGTGCTCTTGGCTTGGCATTGTTCTTGTGGCAGGGGAGGACACGGGGTGCTGCTAAGCTGTGGGAAAAAGCCTTTCTCTGATTTTTCTCAAGCATCCTCAAAGAGCTCAAAACTCATCCGGCTCAAACCAAACTCTGGCCCAGTGGCTCCCATTGAAACATACAAAGGTAAGCGGAGGGAGGGAGGAGCTCCAGGGCTCCCTGACCTCACTCAGGTGATGTGCTCCTGCAGAATCAGACATGGAGAAGGTGGGGAGGGTCTGTCTGAGTCGTGGTTAGCTGTTGGCTGTGTGTAGCAGTGCTTGCCTAGTCTGAAACAACACCTGGGCATTGCAGCAGGCAGCATTTGAGCTGAAATTCTTTGGATATCAGTTGATGAAGCAGAAGTTACTTCACAGAGATCACAAGAGACTCTCAGCTCCTCCTCAGGCAGCTGTGAACCATGGGGAAACCTCTGCCCTGCCCCTTCTTCCCTGGTCATCATGTCATTGATCACATCTCCTCCTCCAGCTGCATGTGCATGCCAGCCCACACCCTTCCGTGCCATCCCTCTGCCATCCTTCAATGTTTAATGTTCTGTTTGGAACACAGTCCCAGCTCCAAAGGCTCTGAGAGCTCAGACCTGGCTGAGGCTGTTTCTGCTCACGTTATCCCCTGCCCTTGCTGGCTGGGAACCTCCTGACCAGGCCAGCTGGGCCACAAGTCCTTTTCTTTTGAGTTGCACATCTCACTATATAAACTCAAATATCTATAAACTCAAATATCTACAAACTCCCAGTAAGATCCAGCACCTGGATCTGACACTGCAATGTTGTCACCATCCCAAGTCATGGTAACAAAAAGCAAACACAAGAAGCACAAAATCCAATTCCCCTGAGTACAAATTCACCCACGGATTGTTTTCTAACACATGCCCGCAGCTGAGAGAGGTCAGCCCTGGGAATGAGAGCACTTGGCTTGGCAGGCTGTGCTGTGCCAGGCAAGCCCTGGTTCAAACCTCCACACACCTGCTGTGGAAGGATCCCACATGAGCCACACTGCCTTGCATAGGCTTATTTTAAACATTTAACCTGAGAGCCACACCCTTCACAACAGAAAGGTACAACAGGAACGGGCTGAGAAGGGAGACAGAGGGAAAAGGAGAGGCTGTGAGGTTTTACCTAGACACACAGCATCTCCATCTCCACCAGAGCACCTCTGCCAGCCCCATCCCATGGGCCAGTCCCTTCTGTTCCCAATGGGGCAGAGCCTTTGCCAGGGCTCCTCACCAGTCCTGCAGCCTCCCCAGAGCCAACCCAGGCCCTGCTCATTAACAAGGCAGCTCTGTAATTAACATCTGGCTCCCCTCCACATGCAACTTCTGAAAGAAATCAAGCCCTGGGATTGCAAGGGGCTGATCACAGGGCCGTGCCCCTGCTCTGCTCTCTGGGTGATGATTTCCAGCCCGATCCCCCCACGGTGGTGGAGAGCTGTGTGCACTCCTCCTGCCCAGCACACCCCAGCCCTGCTCTGGCAGTGGCCATGGCATTCCCTCAGGCAGTGAGGGATCCTCCACAGTGGCTCCCAGCACCAGGGAAAGCCACTCCAGCCCCAGCTGACCCCTGCTCTCCTCCCCAGACTGCGAGTGCTACGGCCACTCCAACCGCTGCAGCTACATCGACTTCCTGAACGTGGTGACCTGCGTGAGCTGCAAGCACAACACGCGGGGCCAGCACTGCCAGCACTGCCGCCTGGGCTTCTACCGCAACAGCTCCGCCGAGCTGGACGACGAGAATGTCTGCATAGGTGAGAGCAGGGAATGTCTGCATAGGTGAGAGCTGGGAGCGTGTGTGTCTGCATAGATGAGAGCAGGGAATGTCTGCTTAGGTGAGAGCTCAGAGTGTGTGAGTCTGCACAGGTGAGCAGGGAGAGTGTCTGTGAGTGTCTTCATAGGTGAGCACAGGGAGTGTTTGCATAGGTGAGAACTATGTGTGTGTGTCTGCAGAGGTGAGCAGGGTGGATGTCTGCACAGGTCAGAGCAGGGAGTCTGGGTAGGTAAGAACAGAGAGTGTCTGCATAGGTGAGAGCAAAGTCTGTGAGTGTCTGCATAGGTGAGCAGGGAGAGAATGTCTGCATAGGTGAGAACAGGGAATGTCTGGATAGGTGAGAGCAGGGAATGTGTGTGTGTCTGCATAGGTGAGAGCAGGAAACGTCTGCATAGGTGAGAACTGAGAGTGTCTGTGAGTGCCTGCACAGGTGAGCAGAGCATGTCTGCATAGGTGAAAGCTGGGAGCGTGTGTGTCTGCATAGGTGAGAGCAGGGAATGTCTGCATAGGTGAGAGC